AAGCTGCACCGCATTTCGAGTCGGTTGTGATTTATAAAAGGGAAACAGGCGTAGGAAGTGCCATACGCACTTTCCTCTCCGGTACGCAATGTTTGGTGAATCGGAAAGTGGCGGAAAATGTATGGACCTATTTTTCGGATTTCTACTACGTAAGCAACCTTCCCACGTCAATCCTACGCACGGCGTTATACATGAGGCCCCAGAAGAGATTTGTAATATTTTTTAGGCAATTCCTGATATAAAATTTCTTTTGTATTCAATTCTAAGGTGACGCACAAGCAGATTTTGCCCTCCAAATAAGATCTCCGGTTTAAAAATGATGTTACTGGCGTGATTTTCATGGGGGAAGGAAGGGTAAATATTTATCGGAGAAAGTGTTACTTTTTTTCTTCCTGCAACTACACTGAATCAACAAAGCGGTCTGTGTACCAAAAAACAGCTCTGCTGACTAAAAACAGAAGAGGATCATCTGACAACTTAAGCCCAGGGAACATAGTTTGGTTCAGGGATCAAAGGCGATGAACAGTATATGTGCGTCGTGAAGATTTGTTGGTGTTTTTGGGGGGGAAATGGAAAGACGGTTAAAGGAAACTTTGCTTGGCTATATATTTTCTATTTAGGTATAGTCCAGTCTCAAGACTTTTGCAAGGTTTAAGGTTAAGCTCAGCCTATTCTTGGGATGTCACTAGAGCAAATATAACATTGGCAACATATAATGTCTAAATATTCTCAAAACACTTATGTTATGTTTAATGGTATATTAGAAAAGGTCTGTTTTCCAGGTAACTCAATGTAACAATATATTCCTGACAGAGACAGGGGTGCGTCACCTAAGTGTCTCGCAGCAGAGAATAAAGGGTTATTTCTGTCTGACTAACACAACACAGGAGGAAAAGGCTATTGATTTAAGAAGAGCTGGGTGAACATGACTTGGATAGAAATCCCAGAATGAAGGTAACATCAGGAAGTGCTATAAACTTAGTCTACAGCCTCCACTTGTACAGGTGTTCAGGCACAGCATGTGTGGGCTCACCTCAATCTCACTGCCCATTTTAACCAGATCTAGCTCCTAAGACTCAGAAGCCATGCTCCTCTTCGTAGGATGTTTTTAAACACCTCAAATGATATGTCAATGCTGGAATTTAACTAGGCCGGGAAAAGATAGTGTGGGCATTTTTTTAGAGAGCTGGTTTTTCTCTATCAAATATAATTGACTATTCCTCAAGGGGGAAAGCACTTGAAAAGAACGGAGATCATTACATATTTGGGTACCCAAAGGGGACTTAACCATGACAACATTATTTATTCTCGCCCTTCCCTTTTTCTTTTTTGTGCTTCACTCTTGTGTAGCTCAGTGTATAACCTACTTATTCCATCTCCATGAGGGGGCAAGCAGGCGTTCAGACCAAATTGAATTGAATCTCTCCTTATCTCCACTTCCTCCCTCAGCTCTCAGCTCTGACTGAGAGGAGTCGATGGCTAAGAGTGGATCCCATCTTAGCGTTGTCATGGATACGCAGGCTTTTGTCTGTAGTAAGTTAAGGCCACTCTGGGCTGTATATCGATTTTAGACTTCTGATACATTTGGTTGTTTTATGGTAAATCTGTAATATTCCACATTGAAAACGAGGCCATGGAAGAGGAGATTGATAGCGCGAGGGAATTGATACAGCAGTCCCACACATCCACCCACATCTTTCTCTGGGGGCTTCATCTTTTGCTTTTGTGATAATTTCCGTAGACATCTTTATCAAGGAAGCCTGAGATCATCACATAATAAAACAGTTGCAGTATGAAATAGGGAAGAGGGGTGCCGGACGGGAATTGCATCGAATATTTGATGGCTTATATTACAGTTTATGATTCATTGAATTAAGTGTATCCATCCTTAATTGTGTCTCCTCAACCAAAAAGTGTCAAACAGTGAGACTCTCAAAAACAGAAATCACTTCTCGGAGATGTATTTCTCTATGTCTGTGTGTTTGTCTCTCAATCATATGCAAGCAGACCATGTATTCAGCCAGATTTTCAATTAGCCTTCCAAAGCTAACTCAAAGCATAATGACAAGCTCATACAATTTAAATAATGCTGTGTTCATAAAAAAGCCTCCTGCTCCTTTTATCTGGGTGATGTGTTCCGCCTGCACCGCTGCTCAGATGCAGTTCAGACGGAAGGTTCAATGTATAAAGCATTACAATTAAATACTAACAAACACACAAGAATAACACATACTAAAAACAAATGAGCAGGTGTGTGGATCAAGCAGACAGGCACACGCACAGACACACACATTGATATTCCTGTATCTGTAAAACGATTTTCACATCAATGAGAGCAGAGCAAGGCATGAAGTGAGCTGGCAGGAGGGTAGAGGGAATCAAAGTGCCCTCTGGGGACACACACAAAAAGCCTTTTTCCAGGGTTTGTGCTTTTTTAGGCTGTGAGGTTGGTCGAACCTTGTTAATCTCAAACTGATTGGATCACAATGCTACCAGATTCCTAGAATAAACCACTAGCAGTGGTGTTGCATCCTGTGTTTTCCCTGAGGTTAATAAACAATGCCAGAAATATACCAAGCTTATCACTAATGTTAGCTCGACCAAAATAAACAACAAACAGCTCTACATTAGTACCATATTTTCAAGTACATGGAACTAAATCCAATTATGAATCATAAATGACAAACACCACTATGCTGACATAAATTCAGAAGCAGCACAACAACCGTTGAGCACTTAACAAGCTCAAAGCTCTGAGGGAAGGTATTCGTTTGAGATGATAACTCATTATGACCATCTGGCCTACGTGACAATCTCAAAATGATCAGGATCAGGCATTTTTGTGTTCACATAATATGTCAATAATAATTCTGACAGTCCTAACAAAAGATAATAGGATAACATCTTGTACGTTTATTACACCTTTGATTACAATGGGCTCACTAATGAGGAACATTCTTTATTTTACACTTTTAAAAGCCGTCCAAGAGGAGAACATTTGGAGTCAACAACAACTCTGATTACCATTTATACAGCACATTAAAATAAATACGGTAATTATATTCATCATCAGTTTACTCAATGGAGAACATAGCTTTTTCTTAGTGGGCACACTTAACATGTATGGAACTATGAATATTTACCTGAGATTTTATGTCATTCTCGAAGTAGTTCTGGGCTATTTTATTTTGGAAATGTTTGGGAGGTTTGACATTACTCCTCATAAAGTCTATAATTAGCAAGGTTAAATGTTATATTACATGGATGTTAAACATTAATGGGACTTATTTAACTGACAAACAATATCTTAATTAATACATTTTCTTTATATCTGGAGTAGTCCATTTCTTTTTGTTTTTAGTATTTTACAGACTTTCAAAGCTTAGTGACCAACACGTTGATTACAAGGCTTCCTTAGTTAATAATCCATCACATCTGCGTGTTGTCTATGCGTCTTTGTGCGCACACTGAGATGCGACAGTCAGGAGACGGAGACGGTGTGGCTACGGGCGACAGCATGTGGATGACAGCGACACCACACTCTCATTATCTGTGTATTTATAGCCCCTCTATCTTCCTCCCAGTGTGCGTACGTGTGCTTGTTTATGTGGGCACTTGGCCATGCTCTGCTGCCACTTTCGGGGCTCAGCTCTTGCTTTATCCTCTAACCCAGAATAGTGACACCATGAGCAATCTGTTTCCTCTCAGTGGAAACTTGCCTCGCCTATGGCAGCCTGCATGGTATCCAGAAAATGAGAGATAGCCAATGCAAACACATCAAACTCAAATGTTTACATTTCTAAGAACACTTAAGCCTCTGTGCAATGTGCTTCAGATTCAGATGATAGGCAGTCATCAGGAAACTTTGAACTTATATAGAGAGCGCATAGCATGCAAATGTTCCATTTCAAACATCCAGGCTCTGCATATGTTTAGCAAATCTGTCTTTCCTTTCTACTGTCTCCTTTCATCTCTTTTTATCTGGACTGTTTCCGCTTTTATGTGTTGAACCGATACTATCAGACCCACAGTACAAATGAATATTAAACCCTTTGCCCTACCCTACACTCTGTCGCTGGCTTTAGTGTCAATCAGTAAATGTCAGCATTGCACTAGTACATGCGAAAATTGACAAGTCAATGCCAAATCAAAATGCTCTGCATGTCCTCTTACGTTCAGAATAAGGTCATATAAAGTGTAGCGATGCTTTAGCACCAATATCCCTTAAAAAGGTAAGCAGTTGAGATTGACTGGTTATAAAATATTCCTCAGCTCAACATGAGAGTGTATCTTCAAATGTTTTAATTAATACGGAGCCCTTGAGGGTTCATAGAGAGAAAAATAAATAAAACGAGGCCACGTTTTACCTTCTCGTTCGCACGAGTTAGTAAAGCGTGGCCTCGTTTTATGAAGAATACATCCGGTCGAAAGGGCGTGTGTGTGTGTGTGCGCATTTGTTTATGATAGTGTCGTTCGTTCCGGTGCACTCCGGCAGGACTATAGCACTGCATCGAGATTAAGATTAAACGAATGTCTTTCACTTGGGAAGACACATATAATTATGGGGAACCAGATTTGTGTAAATTACTGTTCGTGGTAATTTGAANATATACACTCAAAAAATGGGGCACGGCAGTTTCTACGCAATGTTTGCGATTTATAAAATACTAACTTGACGGGAAAATGTGCGGTCCTCCACGCAAACTCTAACGAGTTTGCGTGGAGGACCGCACATTTTCCCGTCAAGTTAGTATTTTATAAATCGCAAACATTGCGTAGAAACTGCCGTGCCCCATTTTTTGAGTGTATATCCCTTTTATAAATGAGGCCCCTGGTCTTTATCATTTAATCTGTTTTATTTCACAGCTGGGAGCAGCAGATGTTATCTTCTTATACCACCGTTCCATCAGTGCGTGGTTTCCTTAACTGAACTCTCAATGGTGGTGAGACATTTTACAAGGGAAGGTGGATTTCAGTTCTGTCCCTGTGTCTTTGTATAGGTGGAGGAGGTGGTGGATGTTGGGACCTTTGCTGAAGAGGACATCCACATACCTAGCATCTATGTCCACAGGGTGGTCCACGGAACCGGCTACGAGAAAAGGATTGAGGTACAAAAGAAGACTTTGCAAAGCAGTGATGAATGAAAAGACTATGTACATATCAAAATTCTTCAGTCATGTGTAGCATTGGTCACTTTCTTGAAAATCCAGTTCAATACAATTGGCTACATTAATTAAAAAGGATAAATGATTGATGCTATAACGTGAAGCTAACATTATTTTATTTTTATTTTATTGCCATCATTGTTCAGAAACACACAAACCAGCTCTTATCTGTGTGTGTCCTTGTACAGTACCTGGCCAGAAATATCCTCTCAACATGCTGTCTCCCTGTTCCTCATATATTTCCGTATGCTTCCAGAAACGCACAGTACAGAAAAGTCAAGACGAGAAGCCCAAACCAAAGAAGGACTCCGACATTGTTCGGGAAAGGATCATTCGACGGGCTGCACTGGAGTTCGAGGATGGAATGTATGGTATCCTTTGAAAACAATACATCTAAAAAAATGACCATGAGTAAAACCAATCCAGGTGTAATTAATAAATATGTGCTGCCCAATTGTAATTACACACTTGTTTGCTCTTCACAAGGTTGATTTCAATGGCAAATTATGCACGTTCTTTTTTTTCCAAGAATTTCACATTTCCATATTCATTGAATAGCATTCCTCCTTATGAACACAGTCTTACGTTTTTTTATTTTATTAATAATACCCTTTTATTCAAGCAGTTTTGGTAACTTGCATCTATTACAACTTAATAGTTTTATAGATTTGAGAATTGTCCACACAACTAAATCTTTTAGTTATTTACATTATGTGGGATGTGGAGTTATAGGTAGATTATGTTGAAGCAGCTTTCAATCAATCCTGTATATTTTTCTCTTGATCTCTATACCTGCTTTCCATTTCAGAATTACAAATGTAATAGTCACCATCTTTAACAGAGTCAATCAGCAAACCTTGGTATTGGTATCCCCATGCTGGCCAGCAACTTTATAAAACCAGACATCACAGTGAACCTTCAAAGTGAAAATGGGATTTTGGGACTGGTAAGACACCTACAGAGAGCTTTGTTCCCCCTCAGGCTTCAGTGCTTTCAATCTCAAAGCCCATGAGCAGTCTATTTTCTGTCCTGTTTGTGGACTGTTGTTTTAAGTGGGAGAAACCTTTTAGAACTGAATTGTTCTCTGAGCATGTAGCAGGATGAATAGTCACTAATTTGAGCGGCATCATTCCTAGTTTTGCCCCTTGAGCTAGTGGAAATTTGCTGGGTTTGTTATGTAACAGATTGTGCTGGTTTGACACTTTCTCTTCCATTTTTCTTTCGCACAATCATTATTTTCTGGCTGAGCTTTAAACAAAAGCTGCTGCTGCTGCTGCTGCTATGGAATGACTTTCAAATCAGTTGTGTTGACTGGAGAATGTAGGCGCCTATGCTAATGCCTTATTTTCTAAAAGTTTCTTTGAATTAAGAGTTTTAAAAGAGATTCTGCTCTCCTTTCCTCTACACCCAAATGTTTTGGTCTCTTTGTTGAGCACAGAGAATGTCAATGTCTCATCAAATCACTAAAATGTGATTGTGTCTCTCCCCTGAAAGATCTTGGTCAGTGAGGCTGAGTGACGTGTGAATGTATGTGTGACCTGTGCACACACTCGCTTTTATCTTATTCTCTTTTTGTATAGGGCCCATATCCCACTGAGGACGCCGTGGATGCAGACCTGATTAATGCCGGTGAGAATTAATCTTCCTAAATGCTTCCCAATAATAAATGTATGTATATGTAAAATATATATATTAATCTTTGGAATCATTGGTTGAATTATGAATTGATTAAGAGAGCTTTTCAGCTAAAATGTGAATCTGTATATATTTTTTCTGACTCTCCTGTATTATCATACTTGGATCAATGCTTAATACAAAGGAGTCTTTGTAAAGATCATTCAGAGTTTGTTCAGATGCACTTTTAAAGTGATATTAGCATATTGTTGTCATCTGTGGTTCGAATCAATAATTAATGGATGCACACTCTCTTTCATTTTCTATTTATCTTGCTGTATATTTAACTTTCTTTTGTAGTTTAATGTACTGTCTCTGTGATTATGGTTGTTTTTGTTTGCTTCTAGATGAGTGGGTTTTAAACTTCGCAATATTTCATTTTGCCAACAAAACCTCTCAAAGATATCTCTTTGTTCTGCAGGGAAGGAGACGGTCACCGTGCTGCCAGGGGCCGCGTATTTCTCCAGTGATGAGTCATTTGCCATGATCCGAGGGTAGGCCATAACTAATAAGCTTCAAAAACGAATTTAATCTCTCAAAAGTAGATGACATTTATGGATTAACATATAGACAGCGTATTAATACTTAAACGTATTTGACTATGACGTTTGTGGTGCAGTTTTATTGAAAACATGTTAAACAAATGCACTCTTACAATTTCTCATACATTTCCTTAATTCAATAGTTTATCACATGCACAATATGCAAGCTATAGCCAATGGATTTGGCTACGGGCAGTAGCCACAATTTGCCACACTGGATTCAACAACTAGGTGTGTGACACCCAGTGCACCTAGACAGCAGCCTTGCCAATATTACCATGGTCCCTGGTTCTTATTGATTTGCCAGCTGTCTGAGTATGCCCACCCGCACACCCTGCAGCATCAGTTCTGTTTGTCCACCCAGTGGAAATCCAATATTGCTCATAAATAGCGCTGTTCAGTCACACTGGCGGGGACCAATCGCGCGTGTGTGCGTGTGTGTGTGCACTTGTCTGCTTTTGTGCAAACACACAGTTAAGAGTCCTGAGTAGCTAAGACAACGTGGTATAGACATCTACTTCTGCTACTTCTCATTAGTGAATAACATCAGGACCTGTACGTCTTTATAAAATACCTTATTCACTTATTTGTCTTTGTTTGTGTTTGTCTAACCTCAACCCCTGCTATGTGTGGCCACATGCATTTGAGAAACAATCAATAATTTACTGCAGGCAGCAGCGTCGTATATTCCAGTTTTAATCAATGCAAGCTACCTAACGCTGCTCCCTCCTGCTCTATAGGCATTGTTGGATACCTCACTTTTAATATTTAGAAGTAACAGGAAAAGACATCTTATAAGACAGATTAAATAACCAGCTTACCTTCAGAATCAGACTTTAATTTGTTCTGCTTATAGTATGTACTGTATAATGACATTAAATGTCGCAGCTGGACCAGATAAGACCTTAACAACAAGCAGAGAGACGAAATGTGCAAAAATACAAATTATATATTTTTTAAACAAAGTGGTGGTAAATAGAAAAGATACAGCAGGTAGTCAAATAAAACCAGGTCACCTGCTTTTTTAAGGAATGCAAGTACAATCAAGATAACAGCAGATATGGGATGATCTCTATTATAGTGAAGAAGTTTATTATTTGTAAAAATCTGTCATATCAAGTATTTGTGTTGTGTGTCCTGTCACAAATCGACGGAGGCACATGCATTTTTTGACGAGGGGACCATATGAGTGTGTTCATTAGTTGAAGTGATTCAGAAGTTGACAGCTGTCTTCTTCTGTTGTGTCTTTCTCTTCAGGGGTCACATCAACCTGACAATGCTGGGAGCCATGCAGGTGTCAAAACATGGAGACCTAGCCAACTGGATGATCCCAGTAAGTGTGGTTTTGATTACACACATGACCTTTCTCCAAATTCATGCTTTCTGCTCATTCTGGTAGGGGTCAACCCCCCCCCCCAGCATCAATACAATATACATGCTCCAAATGCTGCTTTGGTAGGCGTATAATAGTCTTTTCTATTCTATGGTGTTCATTATCTGATAATACAAAGCTTGTAATGCTGTTTGATTAGTTTGTATGATATTGTACTGGTATACATGTTGTTTCTACATAGTTCTGCCTCTTTTTACTTGCTCTATACATTTGGAACAGCTGATTGTCACAGGTAAGAATATACGAAAACTCTGTAATACTGATATAATACCACTTAAATCATAAACGTTCATATTTATTTGACGTTCAATGAACAATAAACATGTCTTAGGGTTTGTTTTATGACATAACATTGGTCAAATGTAACCACATTTTCCAAGAGCCGAAAGTACTGGTTTTGTTTGGCCATCAATCCAAACATATATTCAGTTTTGGTGGTTTTATTGTTTATGTTTTAAAAGTTAAGACCTTAAGATGACACATCATGAAAAACACTTTTTGTTGGTGCTTGTGTTCATACATTTTGGTATCTGAACATGCCAACACATACCCATGCACTGGTTATAACCCAAAATGTAAATATAATCCTGAAACTGACCCCTTTTAATTGTAACCTCTTCAGTTGACTTCAGCATTAAGCATTTTTCACAATGTATTTGATAGTCACTAAAGTGGGGGTTTGGTTATTGTTATTTAAGAGCACATGGTTATGCCTGTCAGGAGATGAAGTGGTGGGAGTTCTTTGTGAGAGCCACAATATAATGGATGGCTGACATTATTTCTAGACGTTTCATCAGGTCAATTGGTCTTAAGACCACAGTGGCCTCAGTGCTCCTCAGTGATTACTAAGGTCAAGAAACCATTAAAAGACTGTTCACAATGTGGGAGGGCTCAACCAGAAATGCCCCATGGCACACAGTGGTTTTCTGCTTGACTGAAGTGTACTAGCACTGCTGCCTTAGCTAGTGCATCCTTTTATAGCTGTGTCTCATCTAAACAGCCAAGAGTGTTGAAGATGATTTCATGAAGACACATTGAGAAAAATACATGTATATTCAAATGTGATATATGCGAGTCCGCACAACAACACTGTTGTCGATGGTGATCTCTAAAATGTGCAAAGTAATTTATTTTCTCTTTGCAGCTCCAGTTGTACTTGTCTGTCCATGGTAATTGCTTATTAAGCAGTGCTTGATTAAACGTGTTGTGCATTATTGAATGCCTGCGAAAGAGCTGTTATTCAGCTGAAGGGATTGTATCTTATTTGGGCATTTGAGTGTTGGACAGTTTGAACAGCGAAACAATGCAGCAACACAAATAACACTTATACCTCTGTCCTCACCTACCCATTCAATCTTCATTATCCCCTCTTTTAAATGGATTGATGAAGAGAATTACATTTCCCACCTTCTAGGATAATGGAAATTATTCACTATCCAAGATGGGTACATAGCGTGAAATCGAAAATGTTTTACGTAGGAGTCTGGGACGCAGTACTCTCAGCGTGATTATGTTGATTTTCGAACGCTTTAAAATTATGCAAAATGCAGATGGAACATTTTCCAGTTGAGGGCTTTGAAATGCTTTTACATCTCTTCTCAGCCTTAACCATCTTGAAAAACAATGAATGGGGAAAGAAAGGGGTAATAGAAAAAAGGAGGGCATTTGGGACTGGGTGTACTATTTTATGATTGAGCTGATTTATCAATCTGTCAAAAAAAAGCTTTATCAATCTGTCCTCAACATAGGGATCTTGCAGACACTGTTTCATATCATAAGTACCTCCCCACACATTTCTAACAGTCAGCAATACACCGTCTTTGTGAACCAGATTTTAGTTAAATAGATATTGGATGCCTGAGCAGTTCTCTTTCTCCTTTAAATCTTTGTAGTGAATAAAGAAACACTGAAGTTACTCAAACGTACCTGTTTTTGTATACTAAATATTCAGTTTTTGTTATAACATGTATGTGAATGTCTACGGAAGCACCATATTCACCAGCTTTATGCTATAAATAGTTATGAATTCCGATTTCTTTAACAAGGTGTCCATTGTCCTTTCATTAAGTCCCACATCTCCCTCTGATTGATGTCAATAGTTGTCTGGGTAACGAAGGCTTGTGGCTGTCCGTCACCATGTTATTAAATAGAGAACTATTGGTATCAGACAGCGGAGACACTCAGATAATTTGTGGATGAGAGAGAGGAAGCCAGTTGGTAAGTGGGAACTCTTGGATAGGGAAAGGGGTCATTTTCTTTGGTGTTTGTGGCGCTGACTGAAAAGTGAACACTTGCACAGAGTATGAGGAAATCCAATTTTGTTGTCATGGTAACACAGAAAATGCAAGCCACCCCATAAGCCTAGCATGACAAACACATTGCTAGTCAAAGCATGCTTCCTGTGAAGGTTTTCCTATGCATTAGTGGCTCATATTTGGAGCACAATCCCCACAGTATGTCACAAAAAAAAATCCTTTGAACACAATTTATTTTTTACAGAGTATTAATTATTCTTATTATTTAAAAAAATGCTGCACCTGCCTTCCTTGACAGATGCACAAACAGTGTTGTTTTAGGAACTTGCAGTATGAAAGCATTTGACTCTTATACGGACTATGTTTATACTGCAGTTTCACCATTGTTCCATGCTAACTATTATTAAATGTGGTAGAGGCCTTTTATCTATAAACAGCCTAAGCGGAGGTAGTCACAGAGCAATCCAACGTCTAGGTAAAATGGACAGTCTGCACGGTGAGAATACACACACACACACACACACACACACACACACACACACACACACACACACACACACACACACACACACACACACACACACACACACACACACACACACACACACACACACACACACACACACACACACTAGACTCCGACCATGTTATGTTACATGTCATGATATAGTTCAAAAAGCCAGTAAAAGGGTATACTGTTATACTACACCTTTTCCCCCTAAACAGTATGTAAGAATTTGTCCCTGATATTGTATTTCAGCTAGCTTTCTACTAGTCAGACAAAACAAGTCTAACAAAAAGCCAGCCAAAAGTTGAGGCTTGATTTGATTGAATAACATCACTTTAGCAGGAGGTTAAAAGGTTTTTAGCGCAAGGTAATGCTGATCCTCCAAGCAATATCGGTAATGGACAATAACCTCACACCTGTCTATCTCGCTAACAATGTATTTCAATCAAAGTGTTTTCTATTAAACAAGGTCATAAGCATTATTGAGACCACATGCACACACACAAGCTGAACTGTTTCTTCTGTGTGCTTGGCTGCTGTCACGGTGATTCAACACAGGCACTGAGGCTGCATCATTTCAAAGCTAAATAAATGGTCTTTAACGCTAGAAATTAACAAGGCCACTTGATTCCTAGTATTGTCTTGCAAGAAACACACAACTAATGATTATTTTGTATTAAATTGTGGCTCCAGTTGAAGTTTAATTTGCCCAACCAAAAAAAAAGGTACATTTGTAATTTATCTTTAAAATATATATTTGTATCTCTTTATTGATTATAACCACCAGAGTACTTTTGTTCAACACCAATGTTACATTTGAAAAGCAACTGCTCTCTCTGGTTAACTACAGCCTAGTTGATGGGTGCAGTAGCAGCTGTAAATCCAGACCTGCTGCTGTCAGGTCAGATGGTGTTATCCCCTCGGGCATTTGCTCACACCACCAGCCCTTTGACTGTCAGAAATTGCATTAACATTGATCATGTGAAAAAGGATACAGTTATCATCTGGAGTATCGCTGTATGTTTAATTGAAACACTGACAGAATACAAAGGTGGAGAGATTGTGCTTGAAGGCTAAAGTTCAGAATGGATTTCAATAGCATAGATGTTGGTCATTTTATTTTATGAAGTAGTGTAAAGCCATATTCAGGAGTTCTATAAGATAAAAACGTAAATTAAATTAAATGCAGCCTCTCCCATATCCTCAGTTTTCCCGTACTTCCTGTAAACCTCCTCCTCTTTTCCAACCCTCCCTTTGCTCTTTGTTGATATCTTCTCCACCCAGCTGGCTTCCCCGAAGGCAGACAGCATCCCAACCGCACTTGGCATATAGATTCTCTGGTTATAGCTTAGCAGAGAGCGAAGCTTCACATGATTGATGAGCAAATGGGATTTTAATTAAGTTACTCAGCTGTCACCCTGTGGCCATTTCTGCATGTCAGCCATCCTTATTTGGAAACATCTTTATTGGGAATAATGACGGGAACTGAAGACAATTTTTCACCTGGTCGGCGTATCTGTTGCTGTGATGATCATTCAGATTTCTTTATGTACTTTCTCATCTCCCGGTTTAAATTAAAACCAACTTTATTTAAATGTTCATTTTTAAGGAACATTTCAATTGTCAATTGTAAATAAAGGCAATGCAATTCAGTGCACATAGGACCATACAACCATGGTTTAAAGCACCATGTTTAACCATATAAGCAAGGGAACCTATTTAAAAGATACACTACATTTTTAGGCTGATCTGTGGGTGCTAGCTCTGTGCTTTGCTCACATTTCTGTGAATGTATAACTCTTTTTTGCAGCATAAATAAGATTCGGAGGTCCCTGGATATTTGTTGAATGTTAGGTTTGTAATCTTTAAAGGAAACAGTAGGCTATGATTACATTTCCAAACACTTTTTATTCTGTATTTAGTCAAATGTTGCAGTTAAGGAGAGTAATCACCGTTAAATTCAGTTAACACCCAGCTAGGCCCAATTAAGGTTTATCTTATACTACATTACTATACACTACTGAATTCATCACAATACTCAATACCGAAGTACTGTTGATGCTGCATCTTATCAGGACCATTGATGAAATACAGTAAATGGAATAAAGACCATAACAATTCACACTCCAAATGCTGCTGCTGAAATTGTACCATGAAACATGAGTTATGAGCACATTGCTCACGGCAATTACAAAAGCATATCTTCTCACTGACCACAATTTGTATCTATTCATGCAGATAGCTTTGGTTTCACTTGCTCAGATTTTGATACATTCATCTGTGACATTCCTGCTGGTGCTCCAATACAAACACAGTGAATGGAGGTTTTGTTCAGTATTAGAGGACAGTGGGTTTCTGAAGAAGACAGTGGATATCTAATATTTAACTGTCTAGTTTAGATTAGTTACACTGTGCATTTCGCTTTGCATTACATTTTATTTTACGAATTGTTGGGAAAGAAATCATGTTTTATAATATTTAATTAAATAGCGTTTGTGGTGTTGCCACTGTAACCTCACCACATTTTTCTAATACTTTAGTTTAATTATTTTTGCTTCCTTCTCTTGTTCACCGTCTTATTCTGTGATTTTTTTCAAGGTCTTGCTACTGAAGGAAGAAAAGTACTGTATACCAAGAATAGAGCTTAAAATATTTTCTTCCATTGAAGACAAACCAACAACTAGCAGCTTGCAAACCTTTATATATTTGCCATGGATGTGGTTTTGTGTTGAGGGAACCATCTTGAATAGGTGCAGCGGAAGTGAAAAAAGTGTTGTCATTTCTTTTCACCTTTCTAAATGAATGCTTTTGTTTCCTGTTTTTTTTTAATGATTGTGTTGAAATTTACATCATGGTCATTTTAAGGCCATTGCTAACGGGGGATAACAACTGAATTGTGATTGTTCTACCTTAAATAAATGTGATGACTGAAACCTTAATCCATGTTATTTTCCAATTTAGGGTAAAATGGTGAAGGGTATGGGAGGAGCCATGGATTTGGTCGCTAGCGCTGGAACCAAGGTGGTGGTCACCATGGAGCACTCAGCTAAGGTATGTGTGCATGTAGGAGTGTGTGTGTGTGTGTGTTATGTGTGTGTGCTTTCACCATTCTTGTTCTAACCAACATGACCTTTACAAATTACCCTAAACTTGCTAATTTCCTTTGCCAGGTATCCACGTCAAATTACATTGGCAATTTTCTTTTCCCATGTTGGCACCGTCACTAGAGTACTTTGTATCTGCTTCCTACGATAATGAGTGTGAGTGTTATTACTGATTAAGGATTATTCTGTTAATGGATTTCTTAATGCCTCTTTACAAGAGAGCGCTGCTCATACTGATGAGGTTTTGCACACGAACCATGTCCTGTTTGTTTCATCTGTGGCTATTTTGACAATACTTAATGCATTGGAAACAGCTGATTAGTTAGACTGGTTCTATAGCTAGGGGTGAGTAATCCAACTGGGATTTTGACAAAAGCAGTAGGTGACCAAACTGATCCACTTATTTTTTCATATGGGAAAGTCCAGACCGATATGACGCAAGGGCAGCGTAACATAGCATTCACAGAAGCATACTGTTCTTGCTAATGTTATCCTTTCTGACGCCTAGCTGTATTCCAGATGGTGCAGCAGGTGAGCATACACTTACACATACACCTACTGCCCTGAAGTCTGCGAGGTGGGGGGAAAGGTTGATGAAGTGTGCATCTCAGGCAGCATCAGAGGCATTTGAATGTGTCCCTTCCTTAAAATGACAGTCTTGCGTGGATTTTGTGCTCTAAATATTTTGGAAGAAATAAGAGTTTATATAACCAGCTGCATCTCTGGATATATTTAAATTGGAGCTGCATCACTGAAGGTGTCAACCCACATTCCGAGGGTGACTGTTTCTACCTAAGTTTATGTTTTAACCAACTGCCCTTTGTCTTTCAGGGAGGAAAACACAAGATATTGGAAACATGCAACCTGCCTTTAACAGGGAAGCAGTGTGTAGATCGGATCATCACAGAAAAGGTGCGTTTCCATTTTTTGCATTATCTTGCATTTAGAGCGAAATGGATGAATGGGGGGATTTCCCAGACTTCGGTAAGGAGCCCTTTATTATAAAACAGCAGCAACGCACTGGTATCTCCTGGCATACTTACTTAAGGAGCAAAAAAATTTAGGGGAAAAATGCTGTCACTGCAGCTTTACAAGCGTAAAACCAAAGAAACACACACATACCCTCTTGTAAATCGTGAACGCAACAAATACTAAAACATTTAAACAACCAACTGCTGCCTACATACAGATACTAAGCCTTGAACCTGTTCTCCCTCTAAAACTAGCTTAAGCCTTTTTTGTTTCTTTAATAAAGCATCTTGATTAATTTGTTTTAGTAGCTACAAGTGCTACAGTTTCCCACATTGCAGTAGGGAAATATTGAAACCAAAATGTTTTGGTTGGTTTTTTATATTATCTCAGCATTATTTAGCAATAAGGTCCCACATTGTATCTGTATCTCTCCATTGCTTGCATTACACTAACAAAAACAATCACACTGCAACTGATAAATTAGTATGATGCAATAGAGTGACATGGTTAGAGGGAAATTGTATTTATTCCATTAACAGTAATTCAATTAGTTGTGAGGAGGCTTCTTATTGATTCTTTCGTGGTTTGTTAATTTTCATGGTTAGGGTTGGGTTTCCTTTTATTATGTATTCTGTTGATGCTCCCATCCGTGCCTCAAGGCCTCCTTCTAATGATGTTGATGCTTGTGCAATGATTGTAGTCATACTGTAGCTGATCTGCAGCTGTGTGTTTTTGACTGTTTTTCGGTTATTTTATAAAGAAAAAACACTGAATGAAACCGAGTTGGAAGCAGACTCAATTAGTCAAGAAGCTCATCTGTATATGGAAGATATTCACTTAGGACATTGTTGGGTAGTCTTGGTTGACACACCCTTTGAGTGTTTCATGCACTGGGGACATGCTGACTGGTTCCAATCTGGAAACTCTGGAAAAACGTACTGCTCAAGCTCTCAAAGCATATGGGTCTTAGCAGGAAGGCAAATCTCCATCTTCATAATTTAGAATTTCCTCAGCTCCCCACAGTTTGAGTGTTCTGTGGTGTGAGGGAAGAAGGTGGACACATTTGGATATAGATGCCATTTACATTCAAGTTGCCTTACTTGGTAGCCCATGTGGTGATAGAGAGGGTAGGGGGGTCTAGCAGCATGAATATTATGTTATGCTTCAGGCAAGCTGGGTTTTAATGACCAACACACAAGTAGAGAAAACAGTTCTCTTTTCAGAATAGTGCTACAGTAAGCACATGTACATGGTTGCAAAAAAATAAAGAGAAGTAGGGATAAATGGTAGATGCCAGTAAAAAGGGATGAAAGTGGGGGCAGGTTAGAGAGAAAAGCGACTAGAAGCTCCTAGTGCTGATTAGGTTTCTTTTGTACTATTGTGCTTTTGTCAATTCCCTGTGACCCTCTGGTGGCTCCTGCCTTTGGAACTCATTGAAAACACGACCTGTAAGCAGCAAAGTGAGACCTGGCCTTGACAGTGTCCGTGGATCTTTTTTCCACCCCATCAGTTTTTTCCTGCTCGACTGGCTTTTGCTGTGATGGCGCAACATTTCTCAGGGAGCAGATTTCTGTCAATATTTATAAAGGTTAAAGCTCTTTCTGCTGCCATCATAGCACTGCTACCACCTCCTCATCCTTTCCACCTGTCTTCATTTCACCTCCTGCTGTTTTCTCTTCCTCAATATTCATTTGGTATTTATTCTCTTATTACATCCCAAGCTTTTTACTTTTTTTTTAAATGTCTCAAATTTCTTGCATTCTTTAATTTATAACCTTTTTTTTTTATTTCCTTCCATCTCTTTCAACACATTCCACATACACACCTAATGTTATTTTTCCTTCCACTTGGCCCCCCATCCACAATCCACAAGTATTGTCCAGCCGTATATATGTCCACATTTAGAAAATACCCGTTCATGGACAATGACAGTCTGCTTTTGTAGTTTGGACAGGGAAAGGTGAGCTTTTCAAAAATTGACAAATGACTGTCAGCTTGTCAGCCTCTCAGATATTGCCACAATACTCCTGCCTGGCAGCAGTGGTATGAATGAAAAACAAATAAATAGCTTGAAAGCTTCTAGTCTAATTGGCATTAAGCAGTGTTAAGAAGCTGACTTTTGGTTCTGTTTAGCGCTGGCTGTGATTGCTTCTTTTGAAAAACAGTGTAGTGAACTAGACAACAATTACAGCCGCAGGAATGGAGAATACTAACGAAAGTACAACCTAAAAAAAACTCTGCTACCATGAAGACAGAATAAAAACTATTGTCTGTTATTGCTGTTTGGTGATCAAAATAATGATTTCCAAATCTTTAAAGCCTGCTAAAAGCCTCAGTGACATTATTGCAAAGACATTTGAATCACATACAATTGTTCATAATAATAACACAGGATGCGGTGGGGGAATAAGAACTTATTAAAGATTCGGGAACAAAACCAATTGTGAAAAAAAACTGTGGTGATCACCATAGGAAACTTCCAGCAGTAGAGATTGGGGAGCTATAAAGCCCGGCGGCAAACAGTGCTTTATAAGCCTGATAATGGTAATTCCAAATTGGTTTCTTAGTATTTGCTATCCATGATTAAAATCTCTGCTACAATGTGTTACTAAAATGAGAGCAGAGACTTGGGCCTTCTAAACCTGACAATACATATATTTTTTCCCCCTCACACACACATGCACAGATGCTGACATACACAATGTATTCTCACCGACCCAGCATGCTCCCTGGCTCTGATAGCCTGGAGGGAGGGTGATTCAAGCGTTATCCCTAAATAGTGTTGCTATGAATTGAGACCCAGGGTGATGGGAAACCTGTTGCCTCAGGCAGCATCTCTGCTCGATGTTGTTTGCACCATTTTATACACCATGTTGCCATTTATTTTTCTCTTAAGCACAGTTCCCCTGTTTAAGAGCCATCTCACATGTAGCATTGGGATCATTTCTGAGTTAATCACAAGCAGTGGGTAAATCACCACTTCCCTAGCTTCTGGTGCTTAAATTGCTGCAATGACAATGGTATACACACAGGTTTCTGTGTCATTTTAACCCTTTTCAACTGTTATTTAGGGAATAATTTCCTGTTTTAAACATTTAAAAAACAATTGCCCATTCATGCAGTGATGAAGCAGAATGACTCCTGAATATCCATTAGTTTTAATGATCCCAGAAAAGGGTGGCATTCTGCGTTAAGACAACAGGGCCCATGACAGCAATTATAACTCCAGAAACCAAATTTAAATAATCTTCTTGTACTTCTTGTCCAAACACATTTTAAAATATGCTCCTTTAAATTCCTGTCGTGCGTTGACAGGATACGGGATGATCTTTAAGAAGTTTACTTATTGAAGGATAAAATGTCATGTTTTACTCCCAGCTCTTTGTTACATCCCATTTGTCTAGTGTGGGCTGTGGGCTGAGCGATGTTGGCTTATTGTTGTTTCATGACATTCAGACAACACAAGGGGTAGACTAGCAGCTTCTTAAGGACTAACGTGCATCAATCTGGTTAATGATGGTGACTCTGAAAGATGTGAGAAAGACTCGACAAGAGTCAACAAAAAGGCAAATTGAGGTACATTTTGTTATTAAGTAAAAAAGTGTGGCGATCAGAAACAAGGTCAGCTGATTGTTAATGACCATTGTGTGTCAATGTCTTCTGAATTGTACATCAGAGTATGCCAAACTGTGAGCTCACATTGTGTATAAATAGCCCCTGCTAAAGCTGTAAACTCTTGTTGCACATATATTGACAGATTTCACAAATCTTTTATTTTCCTTAATCACTTGGGAAACTTGTCAAGATTAGAGATGGATGTCACTGTCTCTGTAATACATAGACCCTTGCTCCTCGTGACATTCCATCTGTCTTGCTATATTGGAGTGAGATATTTGCCTCCTGCCCTGTCACTGTGTGGGCCTCTAATGAGCGGAGAGTCCTGACAGGCTCTGCCGGGATGTGTCTGTGGCTCAGCCCGTCAGTCCTGCTGAGAGGAGCAACAGGAAGCGGCTCAGCTGAGTGCACCTGGCCTGTCTTTTGAAACAATTTTTTGCATGAATATGTAGAATAATACGGCTCCAGGTTTAGTTTTAAAGGTAAAGTTTAAAAGGGCTGGTGTACACCATGTACTATATCAAAAATGTGACACAATGACTGGACATAACATACACACTGTTTTCACACACATATGCACATAATATGCACACATGACCAAATATGTATGGTCATTTAAATTCATTTCTTATTTTATAGTTATTTATCATATTTAATTTGTATCTTTGATTTGATCCTTAATTTGATTAATCTGTGTGAACATGTGCCGTCCTGTTTTTCAATTTTACCCTGTTGCTGTTGAACTACTGAATTTCACCACAGGGATTAATAAAGATCCATTTTATCTTATCTTATATGCACACATAACTGACTTGATGTCAGACGTGTGTTGAGAAGCAGCAGTCTGTCAAAGTTGAAATGTTCTAATTTAATCGAAGATGTTAACAGTCACGGATATCTCTGGTGAGGCCAAATAAAAAGATTACAGATAGATATTCAAGAAAGGAATTAACATTTAGAAGATACTTCAGAAATCTGTTTTTTTCTCAGCTGTCTAAAGTACGGGTGATGATTATGCCCAATTTTCGACCAACCAATGAAAATGTAAACGTACTAATATAAAGTTACAATGTTTAGGATCATTATTAACTAAATGAGGTTGAGTCCAAGCAAGAAAAGAATCACACCCGAAGCGAAAAATGTGTTTCAGGGGAGAATTGGAGAACTTACTAACAAATCAATCTGTTGTACACACATACAGTATATGGCTCATATATTGAATTAGCTTGGCTCATAAAGGCTTGAACAGGTCTGTTGCCTGAAAAATCTTCAAAAACATTGTTGGATACAATTGCTTTTTTTCAGTACTCAGTCTTTAGATATACATCCAGCATTTGTTCTACTCTGGCCTTGTAATTGGAAGATTCTTTATGGTAATTTACACAAGATCTCCAACTTCCTCTCTTCTACAGGTGTGATGCCTTTTGCCGTATACTGCATTTCATTAGTCTTAGAGATGATACAATCTCCAGGGGCCTTTTGTTAAGAATCTTGCAGACCAACCATTGTAAGCTCATCTTGGAATCATATTTATACAATTTTGCTTATGAATGTTTGTATAATCAGAACAACTCCTCACAAAGTATGTGCAATAACCCCTTGTTGTGCTGTTGTAAAGTATTATAAAAAGTAAAGTTGTAAAGACAAACTCACAATGCCATATTTAACTATATTAGCATTCTAACGAGAACAAGGAAATGTTGTTTAGTGTGGAGTTCAGTCACATTGACCTTTCTTACTTCCTCCTAGCAATGCCTCCGACTGATGTTTTCTTTCTGCATCAATGATTAACTGTTACACTTGAACTACATTATTCTTTATTAAATCAGTGATTCTTTTATGTTCCAATTGTTAAAAGAAGTGCCACTTTATAATGATCGACCCTCAGAGAGTTGAGGACCACTTTGTGAATAATGGCACTATTTTATCATCTATGGTTGGAGTGGTTCTCTGCCCCCACTGATTTTGTTGTGTGTGTGTTGGGTGGGGGGGGTGATCATCTCATTTAAGGTCACTGATAATTGAGGCCTCCACATCCTTGTCTGTGACCACACAAAAATAGGGTTCAAACCTATCTTTTAAGGAAATACTCATTTTGTCTTTGTGTCTCATCACCCACCCACTCTCATCTCTCTCTTAACATCTCATCCTGCTTCTGTTCCCCAGGCTGTGTTTGATGTGGATACGACAAAAGGCCTGACTCTGATAGAAGTATGGGAGGGACTCACTGCTGAAGATATCAAAGCATGCACTGGCACAGATTTTGAGGCAAGTATTGATTGCTAGCATTATATTCAATTTTCTAACTTAGTATCATAACCATGTGACATCTTTCTTCCTTATTAACGGTCTGCTGTCTTTCTAGGTGTCTCCCAACCTGAGGTCCATGCAGCAAATCTAGAGGAACGTGCAATGGATATGTGTTTTGGTTTGTGTGACACTCATTTAGTTTCTCTTTGGTGACAAGAGTGTTTTAGCAGCCAGAGACATGTCAAATACTGTTTAAACTCAAATGTTAGGTGCAGTTCCCTGGTAGTTAGCATATAAAACATATTTTTTGGGAACTACTTTGACCATTAAGTTATTATTTTCTTTCTTTTTTACCAGTGTGTATGTATAGGTATTACCAAATAATCCATCTGAATTGACATCTGGAATACTCTTTATATGCTCAGGGAGAAAAATGATAATTTACCAGTGCTATGAATAAAAATATACAAATACTTTAACATTACTGTAGACTGTAGATTAGAGGATTTGCATACACAAAAGGGAATATGATTGTACTGTATTTGTGGTAATACACCAAGTAACAAATTAGTCTTTGGATTATATCATCTAATGTAAGATATAATATTATTTATTCTTCATTTGATTGACAAAGAAGATGCAATAATGACATGTGTCATAACAAACTGTCGCATTGTCAAACTGTTTTATAGACTGTATTTTATCTGACATATTTCAAAGTTGGTGTGCAATTACTTATTTATTTAAAATAAAATGTTTTTTGCTCAGCGTAACACATGTATTTGTTTTTCTCTAATTCTTCATTTCTGAATAACAGTATCTGGAAAACCAACAATAGTTGGATTGTTTGTTGAAATTAGTCATCAAATCACACAATGATTAAAAGCATTATGAGTGCTTTGAGAGTGATTGTTTCTGACACTCTACAGGTTAGTGCTTTCTATATATGGGTGGTATGCTTGCATTGACATCCTTGATGTTATTTCTCCAGTCGAGTAAAGGCGCTGCCATTACCTGAGGGTCGTTACATAACTGGAGAAATCAGCCTCTGGGCTTTTGGGTTCAAGAAGATCAACTGGATTGGATCATCAAGCAGAAAAATGGAAGAAAGTGACAGGAGCTTTTGCCACCGGCTGTTGATGTTAATCCAGCGCATCCCTTCATGAGTCAAACAGAAGTGGTACCCTAGTCTACATTTAGAAACCTATTTCTCATACGTGAACTGAGGTGCAATTATAATTAATCGTAAGAAGCGGCTTTAACACAAACAAAAACCATTAACTTGATTTTTATTCATCACAAATGTAAAAATTGCGTGTAAGTAATTGTATTGTATATGGTGGCTGTTTTGGGCTGAGGTTGGTGGAAAGCAATCAGAGTTGGTTTTTGATGTTTTGGGACATATGGGAGCAAGTTTGCTTGTGGCATCCCCAGAGAAAGTAATTGTTCTTTTAATGATTTTCACAATGCGTCATTTATGGATGTAGCCCCCAACCATGAAAAATGATCATCAATAATGAACATAGTGATATTCTGTCTATATCTAGGAAAAACATATTTGACAGCCTATACACCTGAGGAATTTCTCTTTATGCAGTTTGGTGTAAATATTGATTTCTTATGAGCATAGTAGTTACAGAGGCAATTAAAGCATAACATGCTCTCGAGTTTTCACTGGACCCAGGTCTAACATGCAGCGTGCCTATGCGATGCTCAGCACAGATTCATACATTCTAATTATTAAATTCTTCGAATGTTTTCCAGCTTCATGCCGTGACCTGAATAACTAAGGTGGCTAGCCAGCTGAGTATCACCACATTGCTTATGTCAGTTATTCATTGTCATTTCCGTTTTAACTGCAGTGATAATTAATCATGGCTCTGTCCTGAAATTGCATGACCTCAAACATTATAATTGGTTTTCAGTATTTGGATATTTAGAGCTAAAAGGATTTTTTTGCTGATTCCTTATCCTTTTGTAGAAAAATAAAGACCTAATGCTAGTCTCCAAAACTGTAGTAAATGTTAAAAATATTCCATCCTCCAGTTAAAAAATGATGTATTCATAAGCTTTGAGTATGTATCGATATACTAATGTACATTGTCCCAGACTACGGTTTATCATGCTGCCATTGGTGGGTTTTCTGACGCTTTCAATAAACCTTATTAACGCCTGAATTTTGGGTAGTCGCCCCTTTTGGAAGAATAACACTGAAATAATGAATGGTACTAAAGTTTCAGATGATATCACTTCAAAAATGAAACGTACTCGTTAGAGTATTATTGCTGCTGCGTAATATTGGAAAGCTGTACGAACCGCATTTCATAATTGTGACATCAGCCGCGGAGAGCTGTTCAGGGGGTGTGGACTGTGTCTCTCTGTCTCTCGTGTGTGTGTGTGTGTGTGTGTGTGTGTGTGTGTGTGTGTGTGTGTGTGTGTGTGTGTGTGTGTGTGTGTGTGTGTGTGTGTGTGTGTGTGTGTGTGTGTGTGTGTGTGTGAGAGTGTGAGAGAGTGAGAGTGAGAGAGAGAGAGAGAGAGAGAGAGAAAGACTGTGCACGACAGTAACATTATATGTGTGTGTGCGTGTGTGTATAGAGAAAGAGAGAGCGAGCGCTATCCAGGTTGGCGCAGGCACCGGTCCGGGAGAACGGAGCGTTGTGCACGGTGGCAGCATGGCTTCGTCTCACGGGAGAAACGACATGCGGTTCGCTGACTGGATGTCAAGTTTACCGCAGAGCATGCACACTCTTCCGCTCACCAACCTTGCTATTCCCGGTAAGTGTTTCTTTCATGTTGATCAAATGTAATCATGTGATGAGGAATATGTTCTTCTCTTTCTATCCGCGCACATTGCCTGTATCCTGGTAGGTGGGAACTAAATAAATATTTTAGACCATGAGTTTTAACATTAAACATGTATATCTGCTTTCAAACGTTGATGTTTTACTATATACCCCGTGCAACTCGGCTGTAGTTTCATTGTACCTCGTTAGGGTGAGACCTGTTGCGCAACATAATAAATGTCCTTTATTTTCAATAGTTCGGCTTTCTCCTGTAATTGTCCGTTTTCTCAAGGTGATCAATAATACCTACATTATGTATTGCTTGCCTATCTAACTTAACGATGAGAAGCCCTGACACATTATATAAAGATGAATGATAGACAGATGACCATGCTGCTCTGTTTTGTGTAAGACTTTTGGCGTCTGTACTGGGGTGGTGGATTCACTCAGATGATCTGTTTTACCTTTAGCCAATCAGTGTTTAGGATTCCTTAAACTCCAATAAAGTATGACACTCTGGTTGTAAAGCAAACCTCTGAATGATGGAATAGCATATTAGAAGAATTGTATATCTGCTGCGTGGTGATTATGAAAACATTACACAAAGCTTTTTCATTCTTAATTTTCTAATTTTCCAGTTTTAATCTTTAAACCTCCACCCCCCACTCTCCATATCTCTCCTCACTTTTATGCTGTTGCACTAGATACCTGGTATATTTAGGGGTGGCATGTGTAATGATGGGTTTTCAGATGCAGATAGCTTGGTCCATGTGGTGTCCAATGAGGCATGACAAATAGACACATGCAATACATCATAGATTTAATCAAATACTGACTGTTATACAGAAGCAGCATGACATATGACCTCATGCATTTTGTCTGAATCATAGGACATGTTCATTCTTGCCAAGCCAGCATGTAAACACTGCATGTCCCATTTAATTAGGTATCATCACTTCTTATTGGCCCTGCGGCCTGCAGATCAGCTTTTCTTTGTCTTTCATCCCTTTGGAGACAGATTCTGTTAACATCCTCAGATTCTTTGCACTTTCTTGTGTTTGTGTTTACCCATCTGGCATAAGGTTACTTAAAAACCATTTGTATCAATTGTTTCAGCAACACCCATGTGTTTTTATTGGAGTGTATGTCTGGAAGTGAGTCTATATCACTTCCTTTTGTCTCATCTCAGAATGCAGCCTTTGTTCAAGCAGAATTGAAACTGGGACAGACAAAAGAGACATCTGTTTTATCTTAGTTTCACTTTTCCTTTTAGTTAAAGAATATTATGTTCATCATAAAGTTTCCTGACATACACTCCTTATCATCCACACACTGTTGCCTGTAATTCAGTGATGCAATTTATTTTCAAGAAGAAAAAAAAGAAAGTTATCCAGCCGACAGTCTCAATGATTCAGGGCCAAGTGTTTTGGCAGTTTGGAGTAATCTACCATGCGTGGGTGATGTGATGGCGTTGTGCTCTGCTGTTGCCAAAAGCCCCCACTGTGTCTGTATTGCCGGCATTCCACAGCTGTACTCATTAATATACATAATCTGTATGATTGGGAGTGAATTTTAAAAGGTTTCACAGTGATAGAAAATACTTAATTATTATCTAATTTAATATTTTTTGAATAGCATTTGTATGCTTCAAATAAACTCACAAAGTTCAGGTTCATAGCCACACCCCTGCCTTGGGCTCTCGCTTCATCAACGTTTTGTTGATGCAGTGACAATTATTGATTGGGGGGACACTGTCCTCTGAAGATATTGGTGAAAACAGTAATCTGTTTATATCTAAAATGAATGATACAATGTCTTCCTTCTCAAGAAGAGGGTGCCTTAGGGACAGGAAGGAACGAGGGGAGTCCAGTAGAGGGCGGAGCCTGTCAGAGATATAACGAGGGGTTACGTATGGTAACCCTTGTTATATAAGCACAGGCAGAGCCCTCTACTGGATTCTATGAGTACTACCTTATCATGCAAGCATTCACCTACTGAGACTTCTATAGACGTAGCCGGCCCCGGGGCGGGCCGGGGCGGGGCGGGCCTACCTGAATGCACGCATCTCACCGTATAAAAGGAGGCCTCGCCTCCTGACCGTCATCCTACACCTCTCTTCTGCGAGCAGTATAGGACAGACAGTGCCCCGAGTAGAGGGCTCCGCCTGTGCTTATATAACAAGGGTTACCATACATAACCCCTCGTTATATCTCTGACAGGCTCCGCCCTCTACTGAACTCTATGGGTACAGTGGGCGGCCCCGATGTATATACGCACTGTCGTCCAACAACACCGTTCCACCTCACTGTCCCTGACCGGCTTTAGCAGTCGCTGCGCCTCACTCACCTCTCCCTCGGTTGTAACCGTGGAGAAGTCCGGGCTGCGGCTGACAGAGCACACCCTGACGCGCTTACCTCGCGAAAAGTGTGCTCGGAAACAGTGCTGAGGGTTCCCCCCCCGTCCGCCTATAAGCAGAGAGAGAAAGTCCCCACCCCTGTATGGTTTCACTATGCACCACCTGTCCTAAGGAGCATGGGGAGAGCGCAAGTGCCCCCATGTCCCCCACACTCAGACACTGACCCGTGCAGAGTGTGTGCAGACTATAGTGTGGAGGGCTCTCCCCTCCTGCCCCCAGGCAGGCCAGACGAGCCCTCCAGCCCCGTAAGGGCCCAGTGCGCACTATGTCCCCCCGCGACCCTCCAGGGGGCCCGGAAAAAAATGTAAGCGCATTTACGCCCAGGGAGGGGGTCAGATGCCCACTGACCCACAGCCCCCCCCCCCTCCTCACCAGTCCTGTGTTGCCCCAGCAAGCACAGACGCGGAGAAAGAGCCAGACATATCCAAGAGATACTTTATGAACGGGCCTGGCGTTGACCAAGACGCTGCCGTGCATATATCTTCCACACTCACACCGTTGAATAAAGCTGTTGACTCAGCCACAGCCCGTGTAGAGTGTGCACGGACCCCCGCGGGGCAGGCTCTCCCCGCCTGTCC